GATTAGGATCTAGCTCGAGGGATCTTTCTCGGTAACATTAATGATTTTATTGTAGAAATGCCAGCAGAATAACTGAGCTTATTTTTCTCCGTTAGAGTGCATACTGTATACATATTTACGTCAACTTGATGGCACCTAATAATCAGAGGATGTCTTTTGCCGTATGCTGCCTGGGATAGGCTCCAGACCCCCTGTGACCAAGTTCTGGACAAGCCGCTAGAAGATAGATATAAACAGATATATTTATTTAAATAAATAACACACTGTGATACGAACATTTTTCATGCATTTTTCTTTAAGGAATCATGTATATGATTTCATTATTTTCAAAGATAAATATTTCAGTGTCTGATTATTGTATTTAAGGAAACAACAGACTTCTCCTCGTTGATGACACTTTATATTTTATGATACAGGATTGTACTTAATGTGACAAAGATTGTCTAAAGAACATATTGTGGATGGTATTTTGAAGAGTACTACCGATACTACCGTCTCCCCAAATCACTTATCCAACACTGTCAGGAAAAAAAAGTACCAATTTCTACCTTTGCTTGTCACTGGGGCTGTACCCTCAAGGGTCTGCCAATTGTACCCTTAGTATGTAAATGTACCTTTTAAGATACAGAAATGGACTCTGAGGAACATTTTTGTATCATTGGGGGTACATTAATGTCATTTGTACCTTGGGGATGTTCCTCAGAGCCCATTTATGTACCTTAAATTAGACTAAAAGGTACATTTCCCTACAGCTAGAATACAATTTGCAGACCCTTGAGAGTACAGCCACAGTGACAACCAAAGGTACAAATTGGTACCCTTTTTTCTGAGAGTAAATACAAGATGGAGATAATCCTGGCACCTCTCATAGGAAGCACAAGACACGTGGAAGGGGATACTGATTTGGGTACGAGTCTGTCATAGGACAAACACCAGCCAGTCCACATTACGTCATGCCTTTAATGGAGACCTTGCAATCACACTCCAATGCTAAGCTTATGAATCAAACCCAGATCCCTAGAGGTAACAGAATGCTACCCACAGAGCCCTGAAGCGTAATATATTTATTACTAAATTAATTCTTTTCTGCTGGTATTTACTGTTGAGTTGGTTCCACTAACCCAAATTTAAATATCGCTTAATATAAACATTTATTCGGTTACACAGTGTCCGATATGCCCCAGAGGAAGTGATGACTAAGGTTTATAATTAATTTTTCTATATGTATATGTGAGGAGGCCCCAGAGACGTACATCTAACAAGACATTTTCAAGGCATTTCAAGTGCAAATAGCATGTATTGTCAATTTCCAGAAGTAGAGTGTAGTTAAACAAAGAAAACGCCTGAGCACCCGGGGGGTAATACACTGGACCTGTGGCATCCATGCATGTGTTCATGTAGATGAAAATGTCCCAGCATGCTTTGCAGAGATCTGCTGGCCAGATATGGCTGCCTTTAATTACGGCTAGCATTGCTATAAGAAATGATTTCTGTTACCCTGGGGCGGGAGAGGAGGTGGCTTCTTCATGGTGGTGTCTTTATTGACAGCTCGGTTGACAGTTTCAGTTCCTCTTGATCATGTTGTACAGACAGGTTTCAGCAGTTCTGGCAGTTGTGTGATATTATGGGATGCCATGTTCTCAGCTTTCCTGCAGCCACGCACTCATCAGCAAGCCCGGGGCTCACCTCCGCTAATCATCACTGGCTTATTACGATCACCCCCTCCTCTGCGGGGGTGGGGGGTGTCAGTACCCCCTATGTGCAGAGCACATGTGCCTCTCCCGGGATTTGATGAATGTGACATTAACATTATCAATAAGCTGTCATCCTCTAGGTGCCCAGGCGTGAGCTATGTCAAGCATGTCTGCTACATTTATCTCCCAGAATTACTCACATTTTGTAACCTTCCTACAAAGTTGCAGACTATAACAGACCCTTCCATGGTGAATACAGATGACACTTTATGTTGCTGTTTACGCTTGTGTCAGTCTTATGATGTCATTATTATGGCTTCCTGCCTCTGGGGAGGGTATGGCACATGACATGCCCTTCCCATCATGCCTTGCTCCGGATGAGAGCCAACCCAAAGACTGTACATAAACTGCCATTACATCATACCTTTCTAACTACATCAAGCAAGACAATAGTCCTGATTAGAAAATGCTATATAGATTTATAGTAGACTATAAAAATGGATAGACAGGATTTTGTATTCGCCATAGACTCTATTGTCCATTGTCACTCTTAAAGAGACAGTGGCTCAAACTTTAGCATCATACCTACAATCAAGGAGTTACGCCCCCCTCTGCTGTTCACACAGGGATATTTATGATTGTCCTACTTCGTTTTCACTTGCAGGGTGATACCACAGGCAGGTGTCGATATTCAAAGTATCCATGCGTTGTTTGGGCTAAAGAAACATTATGGCCGATTAAACATGGTACAGACCTCCCACTAACAGAATACTGTATGACCTCCCATTAACAGGCCTCCCTGCCCCCCAGAGTAAGAGGAAGAACGAATATAAATACAGTATGTGAAAGAAGGGTCCTGAAAAGTCAAACAGCACAGAAAAGCTGAGCATAAATTTTCATATATGAGCTAACTGAATAATTGCAAATTTTAAATAGTTTGTCCTTGCTAACATCCAAGGGAACAAGGCAACATTGTTTCCCGAGAGACTAATGTAGCTTGCTGAGAGATTTTTCCTTAATTAAATTCAAGTGTAATATGGTTGTGTAACTGCACAGACATTTGCCGTTTTGTAAACAATGGATTTTGGAAACATCATCTAACACTCACCTTCTAGTATATATATTTGTTTTCACTCAATTCTCTTGCCATTTCTACCTTATATGCATCGTTATGAATTCAAATTGAGTAGAATGTTACACAACAGACTGCCACTTGAATATATAAACATTGTGTATTCCATTGTGATTTTGATTATTTTAAAGAAAAACATTTGTTGGGAGGACCAAAGCAAATTAAGTTCGTCTGAGCAATACATCAAATGATGAGATGTGTGAAACCTGACATCTCCAGAACTCGTCCATTTTCAGAAACAATCGGGAATCAAATAGTGATCCAAGGGCCTGAGAGTTAATTATGTACCAATATTGCACTATACTTGTCTGGCATGTTAGTGCTCAATACCCAAAGATACCACCCCAAAAATGACTTTTGACACATCTGTCCTGCATTTATAAACAGGGCAGGTTGTGCAAATTATGAGCAAACCTATGAAAAGCACAAGAGAAGAGAGTATTAAAATCATATAGCAACTTTATTCGCAGTTTATATCACCTTACCGCAACTTCTTTAACATCTGTGAACTATTTAAGATGAGGGATTATCTAAAAATTACACAGCACCAAATGTCAAGGCATATATAAATACATAATTGGGGGAGACAAGAATTTTTAAATGCATTTCACAATTTACTAAGAATCTCTTGAACAAATCATTCATCCATATAGATTACAATCAAAACAGAGGCAGTGATATTCCACCATGCACATTTCTGAAAACATTCCCCTTTCAATACACAAATATATTATTCCTTTAGCATCAGCACCAGTCCCATAGCTTCAAAATAACTCCTCTATATCTTTGTTAAAATAAGAGAATGCAATCTATTAAATAGCAAATCTATCAATTTCATTAACAAAGCTTTTATCGCCAGGCATGACATAGCATCTGCAAGAGAAATGCCAAGAAATGGTACGCACATGCCACAGATTCTTAAACAAAAATAGTAATTAAAAAAAATAAAATAAAAATAAACACCTATTCAAGTAACATTGAAATACTGTAAAACACTCTTAGGTACCTACCCTGGATAACTCCAGATCTTACATGAATATCTTTTGAGGTACTGGATGGAGTGTAGTTATATGGCTTAAAACTAAATCATACCAAAAGTTTTAAAAACAAAACAAAAACAAAAAAAGCCACAAAAACATTTACCAATAAAATGCCATTCTCTAACCCGCAGGTTAATACATGGACTCGATACATAATGCATTCCACCGACACCTTTAAGAACACATTTTAAATGTCTTCGTTTAGATGCATGGTATGGATGACACTTCCTAACAGCGACTATTATTTTTCCAAGCTGCGAAAGAATTTACGGATCAATTCTGACACAGCTTCTCATCTATAATTACACCAAAGTACCAAAATTGCACAATTGTGTCATCTTCGTATGAAAGGTGTGCAAGATACTGAGGCACTAACAGAAAACTCAAAATGTTTCATCTAAGCTTTAGTGTTACCTTGTCTGCTTATGCGTGTCACACATGCATGTTATATAGAAACGTCTAATTAATAATTTACATTTAAACAAGACAGCCACTGCCTTGTTCACAGGGAAAAACAAACTAGCTTAACTTAAATACCAGCCAATGAGTATTAAAAGCACAGTTCATCACACCAATAATATGAAGTGCATGTCAGTTGTTAAGGAGAAAAAAAAAAACCTACATTAAGAAACTAAAAATTCATCACAACCAGAGATACTCAAAAAAAAAAAGCCAGCAAACTACAATTCTCCATTTTGAGAATTTGTCACGATGTACTAGAAGATGCCATGAATGAAAGGCAGAGGCTGAAAGCTACAAAAATAATAAAGTTGTATTGTACCTGCTATTTTTAAATTTACCCAAGAGCACACTTTAAAACTTGAAGGTGGGGATGGATCCTGACTAAAATTCAATGGTTAATGAGTTACGTCTTGAGGCTCAAAATATAAATATATAAAAATATAAAAGGAAAAAGTGACCCTGCAATTTGACGTACGAGCAGCTTGTTTTTATTATCCTTGGCTCTGTAAGATGAGGAAAAAAAAAAAGAAGAAAAAAAAAAAAAAAGTTAGGATCTACTAGACGACCATTTTTAACTTTCTTTGAACAGATGTTTAAAAACCTACTTGAGATCCAAAAGCACAGGATAACCCCCTCCCCCTGACCCCCCCCCCTCCCCGCCCCCACCACCCACATTGCATATGTACTTCTTGTGACAAGCAGCTCCTTGACGATCCACATGAGACGACCCCCTGCTCCTTGCTGGGATCAACCCAGCTCCCACCTGGATGGAATTACGACGTCCTTCACTTAACTTCCCGATTTCCGACCTGGGGACTTCTGGAGGGATGACCCCCTTCAATTGAAGAATTTCTCCTCCTCCATATTCACGTCAGGAACGACCTGATCTGACACGTCCTTCTCTCCCGTCCCACACCCCAATCCAGGCCCGTGGAATTCTCCGGAAAACCACGGGTGGTCCAAGATCTCCCGGGACGTGAGTCTCTCGACTGGCTCCCGCCTCAGCATGCTGCGGATGAGGCACTTGGCCCTCGGCGTCAGCGTGTCGGGGATGCTAAACTTTCCCCGCCGGATCTTGCTGAACAGGGAGCTGGGCTCGATGTCGTGAAATGGGTAGCGGCCCACCAGGATGGTGTAGAGCATGACCCCCAGGCTCCACACGTCCGCCGCCTTGCCGGAGTACCTGCCGCTCATGTTCAGGATCTCCGGGCTGACGTAGGCTGGGCAGCCATGCTTGTCTGACAGGAAGTCGTCGTCTCCCTTCAGGATGTACGCGTCCTCCAAGCTCTCCAACTTAATGAGGCTCCTAGATGAAAATGATGACACTTCATGTAAGAAGTCATAGTTGCTAACCCTCACACCCTTAGCTGCAACATCACAACACTCATTTGTGCACCCCCTCCCCCCCCCTCACTGTACAGGTGAATATCTGAATATCTGATACAGAAACTCCAATTCTCAATCCTATCAGACATTTAATGCCATAAAACAAACAGGAAAAACCAACTGGGGTGTAAACAACATTTAGATTAATGACTAAAAGCAGCTTTAAGGAGAACACACCTGAGCGCCCTCCCCAAATCCATATCATACATCAGCTGGGTGATCAGTGTTCACCACGCTATACTGCAACAGAATCCCAAACACTGCAGGTTAGCAGTTCTGCATCCCGCAATATAAAGAGCATCTACTGCTCATCATGGTGCAGCCTCTCTCTTGGTTGCCAGGCAACAATTTCAAAGCAATTCCAGGAGTTTAAAACCTGGTATAATTCAATTTACTAGCAGTTGGAAGAGAACCAATGTAACGTATTTTAAGATTGAGTTGTGGTTGCTAAATTTGGTTACTTTAACCAATGACTGATTTGATGATCTTTCTCTGCTATAGGCACAACACAGACATCAGCTATAATAGCTACGCAGTAATAACCAACATCAAGTACATGTCAAGAACAGCTACCTGCCAATTATGCTTATTACAAAATCCAACAATCACAGATTCTTCAGACACATCAAAACAAATTGCTCATAACACTAAACAAACTAAACATAACGGTCGCCAAGCGATATGGTTATCGACTGCTGTACTTAAGGGTGAAACAAATGCACGTATACAGATGGAAAAAGGAGGCTGACCTGTCTTCGTTAGTGAAGACGAATTTTCTCAGCTTGAGGTCTCTGAGCACAAGGCCGTTGTCGTGGCAGTGAGCGACGGCCGACACTATCTGATAGAAGAGGCGCGCCGCCTCGTCCTCACGCAGCCGCTTGCAAGTCCGCACGAACGAGTGCATGTCGCCGTGGCTCTTCTCGAAGAACACGTAAGCCAGGGTGTCACCCAGGATTATCTCCATGATCTGGTTGAGGTTTTTGTGCGCCGAGAGACAGAAGTACGCAGCCAGAGATTCTCGATATCGAGCGATATCGAACACCTGGAAAGAAGAAACCAATAAAATAAATCACACTTAAATGTGTGGAATTACAGCGCAATTCCATATTTGCGTTTGAAAACACTAACATTAAATGACAAATTCATAAAAGTCATTTGTGATGAATAAAGTCCAGATTTTTCTTCTTGAATCCTGCACACTCAAGAAAAAAAGACCAATTTAGACCTTTGAGGATACAATTACTTGTCATTGGTCTGGTAATTGTACCCTAGCTGTAGGTAAATATACCTTTAAGATACAGCAATGGACCGTGAGGAACACCTTTGTGCCATTGGGGATACATTAATGTTTGTACCTTGGGAAACAAAACTGAACCAGGGTTTGTACTCTGACAGTGAGGCCTGCTTTTCAGTTCCCCTTCAGCAAGGGGGGCAGGTTTGTCAAACCAATGAACCCTTATGTCAAACTGTGCCTTTACAGTTATTCAATTGCAGCAATTGTCTGTTGATCATTCAGTCACTACCAATGTGTCAGACTTGTGAGCTTGACTCATCTGCCCATTGGTCTTCCAAACGTTTATCCAATAAAGGATGGGGGACAGATTCCACACTGGGAAGCACAGCAGGCAAAAGTGTTTTTCCACCTGGTCCTAGGGGACCCCCAGACGGTTCACATTTTGCTCCCTCCCAGCTCCCATTTTTGCACCCTCAAGAACACCGAATACCTGATACAGGTTGGGAGCTGGGAGGCAGCAAAAACATGGACTGTGGAGGTCCCTGAGGACCGGGTTGGGAAACAATGGCATACAAAGCTGGGGAACAACATGGATGGGGCTGCAGCCCATGGTGGCGCTCTCTCTCTCTCACACACACACACACACACACACACACACACAGGGTAGAGTCGCTAATTCACCAAACTGGGTCTAGAGAAACTCACATCACGCACCGCACACCTGCAAAAACATGGCAATTTCATATTAGACGCTTTCCTACTGCAGTTCAGGAATCTATTCCCCGGTTCCGAGATCCTGGGCCAACTTGACCGCAAATTTTTGCAGCTCCTGGCCATTTTCATATGTCACTTTCCCATCACATAACAGGAACTGTGACCATTATGCTAAGTAAGCATGGGAGGCTGTTATACTTTACACATAATTTCATAAACTACATCACCAAGCCAAAATAATAGAGGATGAACAAGTCATTTTATTGCTGGAGGGACCAATCGTGTGGCCTAAAAAGACAGGACAAACCACATTTTATTTATACGACCCATAAACATATTTATAATTCATTATAAAAACTAGCCTGTAGATTGATCTTTTGTTTTCCACAGAATAAAAACGATGCAACGTTATTCTGCTAATAATCACTGGCAAGTTTCACCGCTGACGACAGACCGCATGTGAAATATCAATTGAATTTTCCAATGCAGAAATATGGAGATGAGCAAAAAAAAAAATCTATGCATTTAATGTACTTTAGATACAAAAATAAATTCCAACAGCTCAACTTTCACTCTACTACTTCCATCTCTTTTTGCCACACTTCCACATAATTTCCAAGTTAGCGCCGGGGCATGTGGTCAACTAATCATCAAAGTAATAAGCCCCACCCAGTAGTTCTTGGCTGAGAAAAAAAGTTCCTTTTGTGGAGTAGGCACAAAAACAGGTTTAAGAACTCTCTCCATGGAACTACTAATCAGGCCAAGTTCCTGCCGTGGAAATGAGACAAATTCCTTCTTCCAGAAAAAGGTTCCTGCCATGGAAAAGTGCCTATAGAGAAGGCTGTACTATATAAAATCAAAGAACTGATCAAAGGGACCAAAACATAATGGAATCGTGTGGCAGTAAGGTTTTCAAATTTGTTTTGCAGGGACAATCAATAATGGGATTTTGGAGACAAACTAGCAGATGGCGTGAAATACCTCACTGTGGCAGAAAGCACAGGAAAATCTTCCAATGCACATGACATGAATTTAAATATGCATAAAGGGTTTGTCAAAAAAAAGAAAGACTGCTAAATGACCATGGCTTGCAAGACATTCATTTTATTCAGGGCATGAAAGCAAGAGGATGGACATTTCACTGTATGTCACAATATTACAGAAACTGAAATTAATGTTCCAGTAAGGCAGGAATGGTTTGAAGAAAAATAATTCTCTTGCAAATGAAAAGCATAAGATGATCTGAGAATCCAAAGTCCACCAAAACGTACAAATACAGCCAGCTCATGACCAGCAGCAATCAATAAAAAATGTATTAAAACAATCATTGTATTAATAAGCTTATAAGACAGCTTATAAAAGGGCTAAACAATAGGCTAGTTTTTGGGGGGGAAGGGGATGCACCAAATTCCTTGAAACCCCTCAGGATTTTTAACCACAAACAAATCAGCAAAATATTGCAGCCGCGGCCCTGTCTTTAAATATATTCCTGAACTGTCACCACAAATTTGACAAAGACTGTGGTTTGGATATTACCTCAATGCATCTCGACTGCTCCTCAGAGTAAATCTGTTTATCATGAGTTGCTAGTCAAATTAGAATGTCTACATAAACAGGACTACATCCTCCAACAGGCAAGTGTGCAGACTGTGTTCAGAGCTTCCTGGTTGTTTTTATTCCATAAAATACATCCTATTTGTACATAGGGTGCTCTTTCAAAATTATGAATTTTAATTGCTCGATGTTGTGAGACATAGATGCGGTAGGCATCAGATAATCATTTTCATGGTACTTTATGAGGCTAATTCATTGACCATTACTGGTAAATATACACGCAAATTAAATGACTAACATATGACTGCCACAATTGAAATACGGAAACAATTCGCATTTTTGGTGAACCTAAAAACGCAAGGGGGGCATTTCCAATTAGTCATATGCTAATATGGATTACCAAATTATTTAAGATTTGGTGCCTACAGGGACACCTTGAGGAAAACCTGCGAAATACAGCTTGTAGATCACATGGTCCGGGAAACATCCTGGGTTTTACGAGTAACTGGAGTAAATTGGATAAGCGGCAAAAGTAACATTCCTTTAGGAAATTAAAGGAGAAAAATATACACCATTGAATGAGCTAAGCAACATTGTTACTCTCATTCCAAATACATTAACATCATTAGCAGCGTTGAAATGTTCAACTTCTTGAATTAACATTCATATCTTATTATTCGATATATATCTAATTATTCCCCGGACACGCACATTAACATGAATAAAGTGAGTATCTTATGGTCAATAAAGAATGTCAAAGAATCAAGAAATTAATGCATTGCCTAATTTCTCTATTATTATTATTGAGAATCCAATATAGGACTGCTCGACACTTAAAATGCAAAAATCATTCATTGCACATCCCCCATTGGCTACATGAGCCATAATACGCATGTAGCACTTAGGAAGAACTTTAATAGCTGGGACCATCAATTAGGACTGAATGGAGGTCCCAACCCACTTTCAGGACATCCGGCGATATGTTACACGATGATAACACAAGCCGCCGGTGCTTTTCAGTGATGCATGAGGGCTGACGAAGCAGCGGCTCTGGGGCTCACCTTGCACACCAGCTCCTCTCCGCTGTGCAGATGCGCGGCCCTGAACGCGCGGTCCCCATCCAGCGGCTCCAGCAGCAGGTACTTGCCGATGCAGGAGACGCTGTGCGGCGAGCTGGGGGTCTCCGGGGGGCTCGGCGATCCCAAATTGGGACTGAAACTTTGTGCGGACTCGCTCAGATAAGACGACTCCTCTAAGTCCTGCGCTTTGCGCCTCGGCCTCCCATAACGCGTTAAGTGGACGGGATTTGATCGCCGTATGTTCATTAGTGTAAAAAAAGGGGGATCGCCAGGGGAACCGTTCGGCACAAAAACGAGGGGACGCTACCTGAAACGCTTGGGAATATTAATGCAAATTATTCTCCCTGATAAAAAAAAATCCTCTTTTTTAGACACAATCCATGCACATACTTAGAGTCCAGTCCAACGGAGCATCGCTCAGTGCATATTCCCTATATAACAGTCACAACGTCGCACGTTGACACAACATTTAAAAAAAAAATGCCAGTTTCTAAAAATAACATTCGAGTGCGAGTCCAAGAAAACGACGGTTTGTTTGCATTGCAAATCCCCCCTATATCGGCTGCTAGCGAGAGCCCGGCTTTAAAAAACAAACAAAAGCAACTCTGCCAAACATTAGGTAGCTTTATGCAAAAAATGCAATCGAGATATTAAGGTTTATGATCCCTGGACACGGATGCATTGGCAGGCATCTGCATCTCGATTGCAATGGGGACTTGGAGCTATCTGGCTGGCTGTGTAACGTCGTTAGATGGCTGGTTAGATATAAGGGTAGCACAGCACCCCAAGTTTTCCAGATCTGGCCGGGCAAAGGCAAGCCTGCTTGGTGTAGCTAGTTTTTACGGATGGGCTGAATGAATGTGGCTGTCTGGCTTGCTAAATACACTTTGCACAGCGGCTCTGCAAGTTAGTAGATACACCAAACACTGAATCGGACTCTAAACAAATAAAGAGCCAAAAAATTATCTGATGTACAGATAAAACTACTAGCTGAATATATTGAATGAGAAACAAAAACCAAACAAAGCGAGCCTGGTAGCAAATACAGCAGCCAAACGCACGGTAACCACAAAGTGGATCTTAAAAAGAAAGGGGCTTTTGCTAGCTACCAGGATACTCTATGGTCTTATTACGACCAACGAGCTTAGCGTGCAAGCCCGGTTTCCCCGCTGTTTAAAGGCCTCTTTCGAATAATATCCATTGCATAGCTAGTGCTAAGCTTCCTCGCACCAAAGCCTTGGAAAATAACGCCGCGACGCGAAATTATCTCCTTTACGTGGACACCGATGGCCGGTATTTGTTTTGTTCAGTCCAGATTATATTGGGATAAATTCGGAATAAATTCTGGTGCGTAGAATAGGAAGCCCCGGTATTCTGCAGTGTTTCTCTTAATTCCCGTTAAGCAACTTGTCTTCTGGTGTATTTTTAGTACTTACGTGGTTTGGAAGGTACTTCATTGAGTGTTACAAAGCCAGCGACATCATTCACACCGCTCACCGTGTAGCCGCTGACTACACTGGCGCTTACTACGGCCTGCACACCAAACCTAGTCGTGTTAGTCCCGCCTCTCCGCTGACGTCACCGAAATTAACGATGCCTATTGGGCTCCACCGACGCCAGTCAAGTAGTCTATTTAAATAATAAATAAATAAATAATAGAGTGGGACGCGATGTTCTCCGGTGCTATGAATCGAAAAAAAGAGGATGCTTGAAGGATGCATTCAAACAAAAGCAAGTGTTCAGCTTTCAATGGACCTGCAATTGTGAGAAGGCTTCAATGAAATGGAAGAAGATGTGTGCTCATGCTTAAAACATGAGGTTTAAGACGTTCTGTAAATCGTTCCTAAGAACTAGGGAGGGAATAATTATGGGATCAAGTGTTATTTTGCCGTGATACTTTAGATTAGCTTACTTGGTATCAAATATTTTTAAATGAATGTAGTTTTCTAGGGAAGTGCATCGTGTCCCTTGCAGTATTATAAAATGTAAACTTATGCATGCAACATATTGTGTTAACGAGTAAAGAAAATATAAAAAATGAGATAATATTTCTAATCAAATTTAAGCTCCCACGTACAAAATCATGTTTTACACGTGTGTTTGTCAGGATTGGGGGTATTAGTACCTTCTGACGTACTGTGTCTGCTCTTCAACAAGCCCATTTTCATAGGCCTAGTCAGTGTCTTGGTTTAGGATGAGCAGGTCAGGTGGTTAGGGCAATACTGACAGTCTCCCAACTTGACAGTGGTTCCTTAGTTTATAAAAACTGCAGAGACGCTTACCCCTTTCTCAGTGCAAGCTATGGTCTTACCTTTTTAGAATATTTCTTCCCACAGTCACTTCTCTCAGCAGTAACAGAAGAGCTCCTTAAATTTTTTATGTTGTATCTTTAAGTAGCTGCTTATGCGCAACTACAAAATTTGCATATATGAAGGTATTACTCCTCATGGTGAAACAGAATGTGATTGCATTGTGCAATCCACCTTACTATAATGCAAGTGTGGTGCATCAGAAGTCGGTGCAGTTCCGTACGTCACTCCACAGATAATCTCTGTCCTGTTGTGCTGGATTCTTTCTTGCTGCTAATGATGCCTTCAAATGTTCATGGGCTGGTAAATAAAATAATGGTTTTTGGGCATCGTGGCTGAAACTGGTTCAATAAGAAGTCATTCATCCATACATCCATTTTCCATAAGTGCTTATCCAGTGTGGGGTTGTGGTGAATTGAGAACTTTACTCTAGAAACACATTGGTCTTTGATAGCCTGGGATGCCGTCTCTTACAGGGCGACAGAAATACCCAACTGCTAAAATCTTTTACATGTAATAACAAATTAAATTGCTTGCTAGGTAGATATCCTTTATAGATGCCAAGAGGAGATTTGCTATTCCCTTGGATAAAACAGGTTGATAAACAACAACAATCGTAGTATTAAGTCAGTAAATGATATTGTGGCGGTTTTGGCACTTATCAGTCTTTTCATAGCTTAGTCATGTAGAATGTAACACGTTTGCCTTGCATTTATAAACACAATGACTTGCCATCAGATTAAAGCATTGCTTCTCAACTCAGTTCTCCAGCATCCATGAGCCGGTTCACGTTTTTGTTCCAGTCCTTCACCTGCATAGTAATCAAGGGTTTTGTAACTGGTTGCCAAGACGTGTAGGTGGTGGGAGAGAACAAAAATTTGGACTGGGTGGGAGAGGGGGCTGGATACTGGGTCTCATGCTGCTGGATTAATGAAAAAGAAGGCCACAATCATTCAGCACAATGGATCCAAACACTTCATACCACTTGTTATGAGGTATCTAGAGACATTCAATGCTTGTTACAATCTGTCAGCATAATCAATCATGCATAAATGACTAGGCTGAAATATGTTAGCAAAACAAAATCTTGCTTTCTTCCTGTAAAATTCTTATCAGAACAGCTTTTTCATTTGATGTCAGCAGATGGTGATATAAATGGAAAGGAAAAGCTACCTTTAGATTATTGTAAGATTTTATTGTGTTCTTTACGGGAAGTCCAGCATTGTGTCGTTAATGAATAACCAGATTGTCAAATCAGTTAAAAGCAGGGACCGAGGTAACGCTAACCTGTCGCTGCCAGAGACCTAGACGCCCGGCAGGCGTATGTGCGGCTCATAATGCAGGAAGTGGGTGGTGGACTTCAGGCGCAGAATTTTGATGCACCTCATGGAATGCAGTCCTGCAGAAGGAATGCGAGCAGCGGCTGGGGGGGGTGCACGAGGCGGTCCTGTAGTGTATAGCAATCTGCGTACGCCCCAGTGCAGCAAGAGACTGCAACCTTTTCATTCCCCCCCCCAAATTTCTCTCTTTCCAACTCTACTGTTCTTAGCCTACACATCATGCAAATTACATCTCATAAAGATGTTTCATTATGAATCCCCCTGCCCTCACTGCCCATTTCTTTAAATTATGTTTAAGATGATGATATGCTGTAAACAATAGGCTGCCTGTTTCCCTTTTTTCTCCTCCCCCCTCCCTACACACTCACACAATCAACCCAAGCAGAGACTAGCACTGTTACTGTACTGTGCTGTTTCCACTGAGGCTGCTTGGTATGTTCATTCTGTTGAAAGAAAGAGAGAGCAAGGCATGCATTAGTAAGTTAATATACTTCCATCCCTTGGTGTAGTCACTCACTGTGCAAGCCAATAAATGGTTTTAATTATTCCCTTTAAATGAGTTCCCTTGTCAGTTCCTACTGTGAAAGCTTTCAAATAGCTTTTTTACTTTATTTAATATTGTAGTTACCAATCAAAATATCATGTTTGGCCATCATGCATTTCCCGGTTAATTAAAGCATTTATTTTTGTCTAATGCAGGTGCTCTATAAAGATACTTGCAGCTTGAATTATTGTAAAGTAAAACTTTAAGCATATTTAATAAGGTCATCCATCATCCTTTCATCTTTTGCACTATTTTCTCACACCTTTCGGGTTGGTGGTTCAAATCTCTTCTCCACTCTGAGTTAGACAGGTTTGCTCTTGGTATTCTGGATTTCATCCCACAGTCCAGAGACATATTTTTAGGACACTGGCGGGTTGAGGTACGGATGACATGGCCATTCCCCCACAGCGGCATGTTGCCGGGGGCTACAAGGCACCTGCACAAAAAAAATAGATTTTGCCATATACACAATCGGTTTTCCGTCGCTCATTTGCACGTCACGTCAGTGATGTCACGTCACCGTGTGGGTCAGTTAACCTTATCGGAGTGGGCGCCCTGATTCGAGTTTGTGAGCCAGGCAGCTCAGGTCGCCCAACTGGAACTCCAAGGTAGGGGGAGCAGGGGAATATAGCAAACAGCACATCGCTAACTTTGGACAATGCTAGTGCAATTAGTCAAATCAGTCTTACATGTGTTCTTATTTACTTGGATCATTCATTTTTTGCAATTTTTGTTTGTGAGGGGCACTGGGGGGGAGGAACGTTCACCTAGGGTGCCATACAAGCTGGAACCACCACTGTTTTAGGCTAACTGGTGTCTCTCATTTTCCCATAGTGCATGTGTGTATGTGTCCTGTGATGGACTGGCATCCCATCCAGGCTGTTCCCCAGCCCAGTACCCTGTGCTGCCTGGACAGTATCCATGCTGCCCTGACTCTGACCAAGAAGAGCAGTTAAACAGTGGATGGATCCTTTAACCCACTTTCTGTTTTACATTTGTGTCACAGTACATTAATAATACATACATTGTAGTGCACTCATTATACATGCACAGATATACGGACGCATATACATACTTGGACATTATATTTAATATTCACTAAAGACCAGGCTGTAGAAACTGTTGATGTTCATCAGATTTTCAAAATTTAGCTGTATGATAACAATGACACAAATGCATGAAAAATGCATTAGTATGGTCCAGTAATAAAAAAGTATCAAGTGAATGTATTCATTATACAGAAAAACCAGCCATGCTGTGGTGATTAGGGATGGTAAGGAACCTTTGTACAGTATAAGTGATTATTTTTTATGATATATTTTATTTATACGTTATCTTGTTTACTAGATAAGCGGTTATGGTTGATAGATGGATGGATGGACATAAATGTTATAGTCTGTTCATTCTATTGGTCTGGCTCTCAATACCCTATGTGAGACAATGAGTCTTTCACGGTAATTTGCATTGCAACATGCATTTAGGGGAACTGCCACCTTGAATGCCCATACTGTGTGTAACCTGGTACCTCATCCAGGGAGTTCCCCTGCCTTGTGCCCCATGCTGTCTGGAATTAGGTCTTGCAACCCCCTCCCCCCCCCCTCACCCGGTACCGCATAAAAGGTTTTAAGATGGATGGATGGGTTCGGTACAGGCCCATTCCCTGTGTGTAATCAGCTTCGCTCTGCGGACGTGAATGAACAAGGTCTGCGATCGCGGTGCACGCTTCCCCTTTCCATCACGCTCCGCTTCATAAACATGCTATTGTGCCCGGCGGATGCCCGCCTGCCAAACCGGCAGATGACGTGGAAACCAACAGCTCCTGTTACGTCTGCTGGCATTGGTGATCTACGATTAAAATTTTTTTAATGGAACAGAAACAGCTTCAGTCCTGGATAAAAAAAACGCAGCTAATATTTCAGCTTTGTGATCAAAGACACATTCAGTGCAATCAATCAAAATAATCAATGATTTGTTGAAACATATAATTACCAGAAACAGCTGGATTACTTTCCAGTAAAATGTGCAGGGAATACAATTGAAAGACAGTCTGTTGTTTCTAAATAATAAAAAAAGAAAATCATGTATTATTTTATCTTAGCAATATTGCGCAGTGTAATTGCTGGAGGAGCTCATTGTTTTCCAGCTTCTACAGAAATGCCCAGTAAGATAAAAGGTTTTGGAAACCTGCATCTTGGCAATCATCACTTAAGTGTTGATGTGCGTCATGTGACTCCACAGACACACGGACGCAAATAGGGCAGCTCGGATTCTGCTGCTGTATTTGCACCCCGCTCACCACTGCAAGGTGTTTCACCTGCGTTGCTTCAGCCAAAAGCTTAAC